CACATTCATCATTCATCATGAAACATGTATGAAGACATTAACAGAAAACATTAACAAAAAGTGGAAAAATAGCTTATAGTACATTCAAAATATACTATTATCAAATAGTGAAAATTATGTGTGTACAGATGGCTGATATTTTGTTCAAACATAATGTTGATTAATAAAAGAATTTATAATAGCCTCAAAAATAAGCCAAACTAAATATAGTATTAGGTGGAAAAATAAATACATCAATAATCAAAAAAAGTATAATGAACCATATGTTTATATATACTAATCTAGGATAAACCTCAATTTTGAAATAGAGGGTTCTGCAATCCAGCCTGGCTTCAAATTGCTATATAGCCAAGAATAGCCTCCCTGGCTTCACATTCCCCATGCTGGGATTACACGCATATACCACCAAACTCACATTTGTCATTTTCATATTATTCACACATGTCTATTAGAAGAGACCAGCAAAGTGATATCAACTTACCTGCAAAAACACTGAGGAAGCTCTCCTTGGCCATATAAGGGAAACAGAAATGGAGTATTGCCATACCGCCCAAGACATTGAAGAAACTTTTTGGTAGCTTTGAGTCCATCTGCAGTACAGCTGGTTGTCTCTGAGATCATTGCAATTGAATGCAGGACAAAATATTGTAGGTTGGGGGTTAAATTTTTGGTTTTTAAGTATTCACAAAATGTAATTTCCTCACATGCTATGAAAAGAAAGATGAAAATTTATCCATTAAAATCAAACTCAATTTCTACTTAAAAGCACACCACACAAATGTGACCAAATCTGTCTAAAAGACTTCAAACAGAACAAAAGTGGTACTATTACTATGTTTTAGACATTCAAAGAAACAATCTCACTATCCTAATTGGATTGATGACAGAGTTTTTAAGCTTTAAATAATGAACTTTCTTTGAGTATTTTATGGATGTGAAAATTCCAAAAGACATTAAATAACTCAATGGGTTGCTGTAGATGGTAATAATCTCAATTCATTAACATTTAAACTACATAATTATGTCAATAATTGCACTTGAAAATATTAACCAAGATAAAACAGAATAAATGAACAAAATATATTGATAAAAATCACATAGTATGATACTTTTGTTAAATATACTTAATATTCAAACCTAGAACAAAAAACTTTTACTAATTAGCAATAAAACTAATTTCTTTGTTACTGCTGGAATTTATCATACCGGAAATCACATAGCAAATAATAAGGAACTGACGAACGAATCCTTTAAATCATTAACTACAAACAATGAAAATGCACAACTAGTTGTAGGAAATATAGTTCATGACCAAAGACAGATCTTTATGGAAATAATCTAAGTAAATAAAAATTATAGAAATTTACTGAGAGGATGTAAATTTAATAATCACTAGACAGAACAACCTGGCATTACAAAGTAGCCATGAATTCCATCAAAAGAGATAAGGATGCACTTCTCTTTGCACTTCTAGGAAGGAATTATCAGCAGAATATTTTAGTAAAACATATGCGGCCCAATGCACTTGAAGAAAATAGCTGACATAACAATATTGAAATTAATGTTGGGTGTGGTGGTGCTTGCCTTTAATCCCAGCACTCACGAGACAGTGGCAGGTGAATCTCTGTGAGATCAAGGCCAGCCTGGTCTACATGTGAGTTCCAGGTCAGCTGGGGCTACAGGGAGACCCTGTCTCAAAAAGACAAAAAAAAAATCAATTTATAAAAATACTTTATTATTTTTATTTTAAGTGTATGGGTGTATTGCCCACATGCATGTAAGTGCACCCATCTCGTGCAATGCCTGCAGAGGTCAGAAGAGGGTGTCTGATCACCTGGACCTGCAGTTAGAAATTCTGGGAACTGGAAGTTGAAAGTGGGTCCTCTGCAAGAGCAGCTAATTCTCTTAACTGCTGAACCATCTCTGCAGCCCCAAAGAAATCAATTTGTAACAAACTAAAGTAATAGGTCTCATGATGACAGAGTCAGAGTGGTCAAAGCCAGGTTAGGAATCATAGCTTTTCCAAATCTAGTGATTTTCAAAATGAATAGATCAATATGCTAAGTACAAGCAGTTCTGAAAAACATGATAATCTATACAGTTTTTACTATTATTATTATTGCTATTATTAATAACAGAGAGAGAGTAAACTCACAAAAAAAGAATGTCATCAATGAAGGACCAGTTGACAGAGGATTTATCTCAGTGGTAAAGTTGTCATCTAGCATTCGCTAAGTCACAGATGTAATCCCAAGTACCATACGCACATTAAATAATAAATAAAAAAATAAATAATAGGCCAGGCGTACTGGTGCATGCCTTTAATTCCAGCACATGGGAGGCAGAGGCAGATGGATCTCTGTGAGTTCCAGGCCAGCTGGGAACTACAAGGAGACCATAAATAAATAAATAAATAAATAAATAAATAAATAAATAAATAAAAATTGAAGTGTTCACAGTATTTAATCAAGAAGAATTAAAACCAGAGCCTGGCAAACATTTCTACAATGTTGAAAATATCTATACTATAGCCACTAGCTATACATGGGTACTGAGCACTTGAAAAATGTCTAGCAGAACTGAGGGAATGGAACTTTTTATTTTGTTTAATTTTACAAAATTTAAATAGCTCTATGTTGCTACAGCTAGCTTTCTGGATACTGTAGAGTTAAAATGCATTTTAGAATAATCTGTGGCTCAACAAATCAAGGAAGCATATTAAAATAAGAAGTTCAAATAATTAAACAACATAAATTAATGAAAAGCAATACCTTTATACTCATCAGGGTGTTTTTCATATTCCATACAAAATGTAAGAAATTTCATAAGCATTCGTTTTTCTACCATAGTAAGTTGTTTGCTATTAAAGACATCTGCTCTGGAACATGGAACCTAAAAAACAGCATGATTTTTAAATGAAGAAGATTTTGAAGTCATATTCCCATGAGATAAGTATTTCAGATGATACTTTTTTATTCCTTTCCATATTACAGGGTTATCACTTCCATTCTAGTCTGGCTGTTTCCTGTCACTTTCCATCAGTTTTATTAGCATCTCTGTTAACTACAGAGCTAATTAACTTGAGAGCTCTCTTACTTAATTCTGCCAAGTTGTTCTTCATGGCATTAAAAGGACAATGGCATGTCACCCCTAATAGGAAACAAATGACAGTTCAAATATAACAGTGCTGTAAGAAACTAACACTTCCTCAACAGTAAAATCAACCTGGGGACTAAATGTTTAAAAAATTAACTTTAAAAAATTTAACTGAGTAAACTCTGTTATTTAACCACCTCACAAAATTGGAATTTATTGTCTTATCAGAAAAACAGCAATTTTCTTTGCTTATCCTTCCAAAGCGAATAATAATAACTTACACTCATACCCAGTTACATACTTGAGCAGCATAGTACCTGTTCCACTCTTCCTTCTCGAAAGGCAAGAATCCTGGTAATATTTTTAAATTCTGCATACCGACTAACATTTGATTTAATTAGAAGATCAATTAGTAATCCCCGAGAATACAGAAGCTGTAGAAAGAAAATGATAAACATTAAGTTATATTATACAATTTAATAGACGTTCACAAATCATTTCTTGAAATTCAAAATCAAAAACTCTATATAATGTAAAAGGTATCTGGCAATAAAACCTGATACAAACTCATAAAAGGTGCTGCTCCCTTTATCTTAATATATATGAACATTCATAAATTTCACTACAATAATGTTGATGTGTTTAATTACAAAATATGTTCTTAGATCTACTACAAATGTTATATCTGAATGATATGACACAACAAGACTTAAGGGGTTTTGATAAGAGAGTTTAGACTGAAAAGAAGGTGAGGCAGTGGTAAGAACTGAAGAACCGAATGCAATAGACTACCTCATTCCACTAAAAAAACAAAACAAAACAAAAAAGGACTTGTCATGCATTTTAATGAAAGCATGAAATCCTAAGTTCTAACTTTACATCACATACACCCTTCTCAAGAAATGAGCAATTTTGTTGTTGGTAGGCATATGAGGGATTAATTTAATCGTTCAGCATGTCTCATGATATCAGAAAGGAAAACAATCAAAATTTAAAAGTGTTACCTAGCGTGTTTTAAATTTAACCATACAGATAAATCTTTTTGGTTATTTCCTTTAACAAAGAAACTTAAGTTCTACAACTAGATATACACTAAAAATGTAAACATTACATCAAGAATTGGAGAAAATTAAATGTTTCCATATACAAAGAAATAGAAAATCCTCAAAATTTAGATATCAATGAGTCATTACCCAAGAATAAAGCAAAGATTTCTTAAATCAATATAAATTAAGTACAATTTTATAAACAATTATATTAATTCATCAATATGCCAAACAAAATTAACATCATTTCTTAAGAAACGAATCCAATTATTCTGACTAAATATGCCAGGTTACTTAATCATCTTATTCCTAACATACTACACAACTGATGCACCTAACATTTTTTATATATTTACAAGTCTTAACTCTATTATAATAAAGTAGTATTCCATTTGTGTAAAAATATGAATATTTAAGATTCAATGACTCCTCAAGAACCAAATTACACAAATATTAATACATAAAGCAAAACATTCAGTTTTAAAAACTAATGAATTTCAGTTATTACTGAAGAGTAAAAACAAATGTTAAAGAAAATTGCCTTAGACTTTTGTTTCTGAAGTTTGGAAGTAACATACATGTACCATCTTTAATTTATAAGTCTCTTTATCAACACCTCCTAAGTGATTTAACAAAGCAATTTCAGCGATGAGAGGTGAATGAAAACTTCAGTTTGATTAAAATAATAGAAAACAGCTTTAACAATTCATATTTTCAACTATTTCAAATATCTGCTCCAAAATTATTGAAAATAAAGGTTTAATAAGAAATGAGCTTTAATTGGAAAAACTTCACGACCCATCTTTTTCTACTATTCTGAACACTTCTATATAAGAAGATATTCATATTTCCACACATCAAGTTCAACGGAACAGGAAAATGAGTATAGAGGATTTCATCAGCAACCTAAGGGGCATGAATTCTTCCCTCTTTTCTTGTATCACACCCTTTGTGGGCATTATACTTTGTCATATGTGACAAAGGATATTCTATTATTATTTTTTACCATAAAAGCCTTATTTCTTAGGAACTCAATGCAATATTGAAGCCTCCCAAGATTCAGGAGTTTCATCAGAAATCAAAATGAACCAACATTACAGTTAAGGATAGAAACACCAACAAAGACTAAAGAATTGTTCAAACCCTCTAGTACCACTGTTACCACCACTAAATGTTATCCTCCAATATCCTCAAACCTATTTGGAATATTCACAGAGAGGTTATGTTTCATGAGGGATAACATATGCTAATATAAAATTTACAGCAAAAAACATGGGAATCATACATAAATTCATTACAATTTTACTTTTGGTGGAATTCATAGCATCCATGAATTAGGAGACTATTTCAAAGAACCATATACCCTAGTACAAAAGAATTCCTCAAGTAGAAAAACTTAATACATTTTAAAAGTGCACCATGTATATTAATATGAGCATGTAGTATATTTTTACACTACACCTTAAAAGTATGGTATAACTCAATTATAAAATTTTGCTTACTATCTTTATATAAAGCAAACAATCTACAATTCATAAACTAAAAGGAAAAAGAGGATTTAGAGTTTCAGATGCTGTTTTCAATTAAGTAGACAGTATTGTTTTAAGTAAAATTTACAGTTACCTTTGATACCAAATCAATATTAAATCTTCTACCTTCTTTAATAATATGTGAGTAAGTAATTCTATTTCTCTTTGGTTGCTTTGGGTTATCTTGTACTGTAGGCACATGTTCACTTGTTTCCTCTTCTGAAGTTTTATCATCACTATGGTTTTCTTTCTCCCCTGCCACTTCGGCAACATTTACTTGTAGGGCACTCTCTGCATCACTGCCTGGAGTTTGTTCTGTGGCTATTTCACAGCTCACGGTGCTTAATGACTCATCTTCAGTAAGCAAGCAGACAGACTTTGCAGCTTCTGTGGAGCTCGTGGGTGTCACAGATACATGACTTTTCTGCAGTGCACCAGCTTCTTCAACATCTTCATGCAAATCCTGACTGATAAGAAATTTTAACAACAATCAACACCATATTTCTGGTACTTCTACCCTGGTACATTTACTATGTTATTTTAATACTATGAATTTTATTCCTTATCCTTTATATCTTATAAAATCCAGGGCAGATTTTGCCATATATGACCCATATACTAAACGATAATCTGTTAAAGTTT